TTAAAGATAAATATTTTGTATTGATTCTGCGTAAGTATTTTTACTGAAAAAAATCACAAACATAACCTAAAAAATTTTTTTGACGTAAAGTCCCTTCTCACGTGGAGCGTCACATATATATGTTTTTTTTGTATCCTGATTCGATATTAAAAAAAAAATTCTCTTCTTTCCTTATACACTCGAACACAAAAAAGGCCATTGACAAAAAAAAATATTTATATATGTATAAATTAATAAATATTGTGACGTGTATAGTATTTATAATATATAAATATGGATAACAGTAACAGCCGCTGAGCAATTATTTTTCTGATTCTCGCTGAAGAAAGCTTCAAACAATAACGAAATATATATAGACACATTTTACGAATATTTAATATAAACGCCATTATTTTTGATAAGGCATTTATAGAACGCACAACGAATTTTTTGTTTCTTTTTTTTTGTATGTGACAAACCTGTAATGGCGATCTTCGCAGACCATTTACTCGTACCATCAAGGACTGATTGCTTCACTGAAGACATGTGACCATTGTGAGACTTCTCGTCAACCCCAAACACGGACCTAAACTCCGACGAGATTCACATAAAGTCTTCCAAATTTTTTTCATTACCTGACTTATAAACACATATATTTTTTTTTCGCCCACTGGATTATATAATTTTTTTTTCAGGTCACACATATTTTTTTTCTTACATGTTTCCGGTACACGGGGTCGAGGTGTTTTTTTTTTGCATTTGGTTTCTTTCTGGTGGCTTTTTAAAATATGTGCCGTGCTTTTTTTTGGCGCTGCCGCCAGAGAAATTCGCATATTATATAAAGAGAATATGTATAATGTGCGATGCTCATTAACAGGAATAAAAATTTTGCGCAACGTATCTTTAGATAAATTTAGAAAATGGAATGTAAAAAAAAGTTAGTAAAAAATATTTTTATATTAAGATATTAATTCCGCGAATTTCCAATTGACCGAATTTTAAAAAGGTGAATTTCTTTTTTTTTGTAATGATAGATTATTTTTAGTTTAGTGAATTTTTGGAATTTAGGTGAAATTTTATTAGAATATAATTCTTCCATAAAAGAGAATATATTTATTGAAAAGATGTTAATCAACCAATTTTATATTAATTATTATAAATGTTTATTTAACCGAATTTCTTTTTTAAAGAATTTTTAGTTAACACAATTTTTAGGCACCGAATTTTTATTTGTCCAAAATTGCAAATGGCCGAACAAACAATCGATTTCGGCGCGATTTTTAAAATTCACCAATCACGATTTTCTTGACATCTTTTGATTGGTTAATTTTTAAACAACACGCCGAAATTTTTCTGTCGATTGTTTGTTCAGCCATTTGCAATTTCGGACATATAAAAATTCGGCGTTTTAAGAATTCTGTACAATAAAAATTCGATACATAAGAATTTTGTTAAGTAAAAATTTGTTTCAAAAGAAATTCTGTTGAATATAAATTCGAAATAGGGTAAATGTACTAATTACGGCGCGTTTGTATCAGTTACGGTGTAACAATTACGGTGACCAAAATTACCTGTATTTTGAAGATACTTTGCCTACCGTAATTGAAGCCAATGGAAATCTTAAAAATGTTTCTATTACGGCGGGGGAAAAAATTTGATCTCAAATAATGAAATTAACAATTGTTTAAATGTGCATCTTTATTATAGTAATATTGTATCAAAAAAAGATTAAAATAATTTTTCTAAAATCATTTTGCAACATTTATATTAAATATAATAGTAATAATAGTTATTTTTTATAAACGCGCCGTAATTGATGCACTTACCCTATGAAAATTCGTCTGAAAAATAATTATTTCTAATAAAATTCTTTAAAATGAAAATTTGAACTAACAATTGGAAGTAAAAATAAAATTACATATAGTCGATCCACAGAAAAAAAAGTTTACTTGAATCAACCAAATATTTGGTTAAAATACTAAATATTTGAATTTGATTGACATCACTGATAAATTATTTAATGAAACCAAAAAATTGATCAAAACCAAAATTTTGTTTACTAAAATTTAATTATTATTTTAGAATTCAAACGAAACTAATCAATTGAACGAAATTTGTTTTTTTTTTCGTCTATTATAATTTGTCGTTGGAATTTTCATTCTTATGCGCGAATGGACATATTTCAGTTTGTCAAATACTGTTGACACGTTAGGTACACAACCTTTCGTAATTAACGGCAGTTGGTCGATCAACTTGTTAACGACGATGTCGATTAGTTGATGGCACGGTACCAAATTTCTCCACTCTCCATACCTATATATCCCTCAACCCCGTGACCTCGGACAACTTATTTCGATGTTGAATAATAATAGGAAAAAAACAACAACAACACCAAAATAATGACACTGAATTTTAAGGATCCAAAAAAGACTCTTTTTTTATTTCGAAATAAATTAATTTCAATTCTTTATTACTGAAAAAAGTGTTTGGTTTAAACAAACAAAAAGGTTTGATTTAAACAACCAAAATTTTGTTGATAGAACAGTAAAATTTTGATTTAAATACCAACCAAATGTTTTGGGTCGCATGATTATCTCATAAAAATCTTTAATTAGAAATTTCATTTTAAAGAATTTTGATAGAAATAATTATTTTTTAGACAAATTTTTTAATTTGTTCGAATTCTCTAATTTATATAATTTTTAAAACGCTCGAGTTTTTACTTGTCCGAAATTACAAATGGCCGAACAAACAATCGACAGAAAAATTTAGGCGTAATTTTTGAAATTGACCAATTAGAAATTATTAAGTAAATCGTGATTGGTTAATTTTAAAAATTGCGCCTACATTTTTCTGTTGATTGTTTTTTCGGTCATTTGTAATTTCGGACAAAATGAAAATTCGGCGTCTTAAAAATTCTGTCAATTAAAAATTCGGATAAATTAAAATTCGGTGAATTGGAATTTCATTCATTTAAAAATTCGATTGAATAAGAATTCTGTAAAATTAAAATTCGCTTAAATTCCGCGAAGAAATGTATATATAAATAAATTAAAATTCTTTTAATTAAAAAATCATGCGTTAAGAAAATGATTATAAAAGAAAAATTGTGCAAAACATAAATTCGGTGCCTGAAAATTTTATTAAGTAAAAATTCGTATAAAAAAAGAAATTCTGTCAAATGCCAAATTGAAAAATGAAAATTCGTCTAAAAAATAATTATTTCTATCAAAAAATTGTTTAAATTAAAAATTCTAATTAATGATAATAATGCGCCTCAAAGTTTTGCTGGAAAAAACCAAAATCCCTTTTTCTCAGTGTATATATAACGAGCATTATTTAGATTACATTTTAAAAAATGTGTACATGAGGATGGAATAAAATTAATGTAGAGCAATTTTCAGTATATTGAAGGTTGGCTCTCGAGTGGGCGATGGTGGCATTAGTTTAACTATATACGAAATGTCCATTTGCATAGTCATCGACATTTATAATTGTTGGAATAATTTTCCAAATGTACAGAGACATAGACAGAGAGAGAGTGTGTATACAATGAATTAAAATCGATTAATAGTGCTTTGGCGAGTTAAAAGTAAAATTTACAACAGTTCACACAAGTACCATATAATCGACAATATTCAACATTACAAATTTCTATGCATAAATTATAAATTTATGATCATTATTTTACAACGCGCTATGAAACAATAAATTTTAAATTATAATTAAGAATTTCAATGAATATAAAATTTTTTCGAAAACAAAAGTGCTTTTTGACAATTAAATTTCAAGATGACAGAAATTCCATTTAACTGAATTTTTATTTGACCGAATTATTATTTAACCAAACTTTTTAATTATTCGAATTTCCAAACTACTAAATTCTTATTTAACCAAATTTTTATTTCGGCCAAATTATTATTTAGGCAAATTTTTAATTGTTCGAATTTCCATTTGATTTGGCAGAATTTTCAATTTAACCAAGATTCCAAATTTGTTATTTAACCAAATTTTTAGTTTTTCAAATTTTTCAGTTAACCGAATTTTTTTTTTATTTTGCCGAAATTTTACTTCGTCAAACTTTCTTTTCTTTCAACTGTTTGTTGCAGATATTTGTAAATCTAATAATTTTAATTATTATCATTAGAATTGTAATTTTAGTGATTTTAAAAATTTGGGAAAAAATTTTTTTTACCTATAATGAATGTTTGGTTAAATATTTATTTCAGTTAAACGAAAATTTTAATTTATTCCATATGTCTTTCTTTGCATTTCACTTAATGCTACAATATAATTAAAGAGAAATAAATGACAATATAATTAGATTGTTATAAAAATAAAATATGACAATTTGTTGTCATCCTGTAAATTTTAGACCATTTCAACAGCTGCAAACAATGAACTTTTTAAATTAATACCTCTCTCTATATATATATATAACTGTTGAAAATCCAAGTGTAGGCAACAATGGTTTGACCCAGTTTTAATTTCGGACAAAATTTATCTATTAATTAATTTTCAACTTTAACGATGCATGAATATATAGAAGAGCCAATAATGTTATTTAACGAGGAAGTACATTTATTGAGTTGAGTTATTATTGAGAAATTAGAAAAAAATTGTTATTACTATTATCATTATGATTATTGCGAACAAGAATTTTATATGCGAAGAAATAATTATACATATAGCTACATAATTAATTTTACATGATAAAATATAATTATGGAATATTAGTTTTTAACTAGTTTTGTAAAATATTTTCCTAATTGATATTTTAATGTAATTAAAATGTTTGAGTAATATTTATTATTTTATAGAAATAAATTCTATTTTTTCTATTCTATTTTTTTTATTAAAAAAAAAGAATGTGAATTTTTGGATCCTTTAAATCAGTATGAAACGAAATTTCGTGAATTATGTATAGGTTTTCGTATTGAGTAACTTATTAAGATTATTTGAGAGCTTTGTTAAAAGAAAAAAGAAGAGAGAAATTGACGGAAGTATTAAAACAGACATACCGGATTAGCTCGAAGATTTCCGGTTTCTCTCGTTCTCTCTGCTTCATCCTCTCCTTCATGGCGGTGATAATACTGTTCGCCTTATCTTCTGCTCCATGTTTCGAACTCTTCTCAGCAGCTCCTAAAAAGAAAAAACAATTTATGGTTTTATAACAGATAATGTAGAAGACGTATATATATTTATAAATAATAAAAAATTATACGAGCTAGAAAAGTTTAATAGAAAATTTTACTAAGAATAATTCTATAGAACTATAGTTCTAGTGAAAAATTCTGTAGAATATTTCTTTCTAGTAAAAAGGCAATTTTTCAGCAATTTCTCTTTATAGAGATTTCAAAAAAAAAAAAAAAAAAAAAATTTTTAGTAAAACCTTTTCTCTTCGAGAAGCTAATCTTTAACATCAAATCAAAAATTTATTAAATTAATTCGTTTCAGGTCTATAAATAAATTTTATCGGCAAATGAAATTTGTTTACACGGAAAAAAATATTTACCTAAAATAGCGAAAGATTTAACTGAAACAAGTAAAACTTTTGCTACTATAGTGAAACGTTTCGCTGTTCCAGGTAAACTTTTTTTTCCGTGTATAATACAGTGGAACCTCAATAATTATCCGAAGCCCTGTTATCCGAACCGTAAAACATTTTATCCGAACTTCTGTTATCCGAACTTTTGTTGCCTTCCCGAATCTTAAAATTTATTTTTATTTTTTTTTTCATTTTTTATTTTAAAAATTTCATCATTCAAATTTCGCTAAAAAACGAATTTTTCAAAGCAAAAGGAAAAAAAATAAATACTTCGGATAATCGAGGCTCCACTGAACATTCAATTTTTGAGAGATCAATATTTTTTTTGAATTAGCTTTGTGTATATATTTTACATTCAATTTTAATGATCCAACTCTGAATATAATTTTTTTCATGTTATTAAATTTGCGTATTTTGTTCAAAACAAATGGAAAAAGTTTATTTTTAAAAAAAGCGTAAAAGTTTCAATTGCTGAAAAGATTAAAAGGAACATAATACTTAAGGAAGTTGAGTCCTCATTTTTCGACATTACATTTTCATTTTATTTTCATCATTTTTTTTTCTTCTTTTTTATTCGTTAGCAGTTTTTTGTAATAAAAAGTTTCTTATGATTTTTTTCTGTTTTTTTCCAGAAAACATACATTTGTATTAGTCGAGGCTCAATTCTAAAAATGGAAAAAAATAAAATGAATGCAAAAAAATACGCACAAAATAAAAAAATAATGTAAATAATTTTTTTTAAATTTTTTCACTTAAAAATATGTAAAATTCAAGTACGTTATTTTAATCCGATAAATATAAATAATCTTTAGTATATTTAATAAAATGCTTTTAAGAAAATTTTATCAGATTAAGGTCACATTTGGAAAAAAAAATTAATTTTATTTCAGAAGTAAATGAAAATTATTATGTACTTTTGTATTATTGTATTATTGTATTATATTATTCAATTTCTGTAAATCTAAGCTTTTAGTAAAGAAATATAATAAAATATATAAATATTTCTATTTATTTGGAGAGGGTATAAATTGATAGGATATAAGAAAAGGGTAATAATTCCTCTTAATATAAGATTAGGTTTTCTTGAGTGCATGAAGTGCTTCGATTAACATGTCAAGTTCCTCCTAAAGTTGTTATCCGAAACTATTATCATTGATAATTAATGCCGAGGGCACTTTATCATAGAGTAGATGAAAACTTCTTTATTGCAATTCAATTTTCAAACACTAATCTGATCAAAAGTAGTTTTTAGTTAAGAGAATGTGATTTTCTAAATGTCCATTTTTTCTTATATAAAATCAAATTTTTCTGCTACATATAACGCTATTAAAAAAAATATATTCTTAAATTGAGGATATTACACTGAGAAAACTGTTTGGTATCATGTATCAAAGTTTGGTTGTCCCTACCAAATTTTTTATTTGATATATGTGCAACTAACCCGTTTGGTTGGGAGTACTAAATTTTTTTGTCCAACCGTTAAATTTCGCTCAATTGAATTATTTAGTAGGTGTAACCAAATAATTTAGTCTACGTAATAAATACATTTATTAGAATGAAAAAAAATGTTCTGTTGACGTAAATAAAATTTAGTTATTTCAACTTACTGTTTTCGTTGATTAAAAAAAATTTTTTTGTAGAAATAACTAAGTAATTTATTTTATATAAAATAGTTTATTTGGTCATTTTTACGATTTTGTATAAAAAATAAGGTATTTTAATTCAAGAGAGATGAGATTAATAATATAACTTTATTAAATTCATTATGCTTAGACATTACAAAAATAATTTATCTTCCCGTAAGTACACACTACGCGCGTTTCATGAAATATCTCAAAATGATATCGCATAAAATTGAGGAGCAAGTTTTCAAAAGTTGATACATTCTCTTAGCAAACGTTTTGTCACTTCGTCAGCCATTCTTTCGAAATAAAAGAAACACTTTCAGTACACTTTTAAAAAATAAATATTTATAAAACTTTAATGACACTGCTACGATAATAGACCAGCCGAACAATAAAAACACATGACATAAATGATCGGATAAGCATAACGCGGAAGAGGTCCACGACTGACTAGGCCCTACGACCGACGCCACATTTTCGAGAACAGCGCGTGCGCAATTCTGCGTGCCAGCGATTTAGTACGGAGAACCAAACTGTTTAGTTCGTAGACATGAAACCTTCAAAAATATTTTTTGGTAGAGCAAACTAAATTTTTCGATTGATTGCCACTTTCTTTTCTGTTGTGCCAACCATACTTTAGTAAGGCCAACTAAAAATGCTTAACTAAATTATTTTCTTATTATTACGATATTATTTTTCTCAGTGTAGTCTATTTCATTCTTAAAATAAGAATAAATATTCTAAAATTTAAAATATATTCTCAAATTGAGAATAGAATATACAAAATATATATTCATAATACTCTTAAAATAAGAATATTGGTGACAAAATTTTCTTTTGATATATTTTTTCAAAATACTACTGTAAATACTTAAAAACATATAATATTCTCAAAATTAGAATATTCTGCTTTTAAGACTATGCTATATACTAAATTTTGATAAATTTCTGTTTTTTGTGGAGAAAATTATTAATTAGTTACAATTATATATGATTAACATTTTTTTATTTCAATTTTACCACTGTTTATATATGACTCTATTAATCAATTTCTAAACTCAGGTGGCATGCAATTTTGCGTATTTAATTAAACGCGAGTGCAAAGCTAAAGTTTTTGCCGCAAAATACGTTGGTCGGTTCTCTCTGCATTCGTCTGTGCCAAAATTCGTGGCTTTCTCCCGTTAAGAAGATTACATTATGTTCGCTTCGTCGCTTTTCGATGTTCTCATAATAGAAGGTAACTCATCCAACATGAAAATTTACTTCCAGACATTATTAAAATGAAAAAAAAAATAAATAAAATCGCGCAAAAAATGGATTTTTATAAAAAAAAAAAAAAAAAATCTAAATAATTCAGTGCGAGCTTTCAGAATAATCCAATGAATGATAAAATGTTATTAACGACTCAACGTTAAAGGGTTTTTTTTAAGCTCCAAGAAAGATATTGAAAAAATATTGACAAAAAATACTATGAAAACAGTAATCTCATATTAAGAGGAAAATTTTGCACTTTATATTAGTATTTCACGTTATTCCCTTTGAGTAAAAATATTTTCTTTCAAAGTAGATTTTATTATTATTATTATTTTGATAGAAAGAATGAGAAAAAAGAAGTCGTTATTGGCGCTTTCCTCTTCGTGTAAAAGTATTTGTTTAGTAGTAAGAGGAAATAAAGATAGAAATTTAATGTTTATAAACAAAGCTCTTTTTATATATAAAACTAATTAATAAAAAATACAATTTTTGAAATATTTGAAGAAAATATTTTAAATAAACTTTCCTCTCAATTTGAGAGGAAATGTTTTTGTCTACAAAGAGAAAAGTACAAGTATCTAAATATAGTGAATATAATTTTTGCTTCTAGTGAAGGATACAAAACAATGCGTTTTATTCTCATATTTAGAATAAAATATTTGCAAAATGAGAAAAATAAAATAATATATAATATTCTTAAAATAAGAAAAAATTTTTCAAAATAAGAAAAATTTTCTAAAAATAGAAAAATTATTCTCAAGATATGAATAATAGTTTCAAATAAAGAATAACATTTGCAAAAGACGAATATCTTTGAATTTTTCTTCTTGCTTTGAGTACTACTAAATATAGTACTAAAAAAATAGTACTAAATATTAAAATAATATTTTCGAGAGAAGAATATTTTTCAATTTAAGAATTGTTTCTTATTTTGAGAATATTATATTCTTAAAATTAGTATGAAAATAAAATATATCAAAAATATGATTCCTAATCTAATTTAAAAATACAAACTTAACTCTTGTTTAAGAACATAATATTATATATGCAGCTTATTATTACAGTATTATAATATAATAAATTTCAAAATAAAAATAATATTCTTAAAATAAGAATAATGCTCTTCAAATTAGAATAATGTTCTTAAAAAAAGAATTATATTTTCAAAATATTCATAATATTGTCAAAATAAGAGTAATACTTCTCAGATTAGAATAGTATTCTCAAAATAAGAATAATATTATCCGAATAATAATAATAATATTTTCAAAATAATAACGCACTCTCCAAATAATAATAATATTGTTAAATTAAGAATAATACTTTCCAAATAAGAACAATATTCTCAAAATAAGAGTACTACTTTCCAAATAGGAACAATATTCTCAAAAAAAAAATATTATTCTCTAATAAGAATAATATTCTCAAAATAAGAATAATATTCTCCCAAAAAGAATGGTATTTTGAAAATAAGAATAATACTCTATAAATACGAACAATATTCTCAAAATAAAAGTAATATTCTCAAATAGGAATAATATTCTTAAAATAAGAATAATACTCTCCAAACAAGAATATTATTCTCAAAATAATAATAATAATAATTAAAAGGGCATTTTTATTTTTGTCATCTTATTTACTTTGTTAAATAAATAAATAATATTCTCAAAATAAGAATATTCTTCTTAAATGAAGAATATATTTAATTTGAAATTTTTTTTTCTGTTTTCAAAAATATTGTTCTATTAATTTTATAAGAATAAAATTAACGAATTATAATCTTAAATAATATGCGCAGAATTATATATTCTCAAATTTAGAATATATTACCGTTTTTTCTATATAAAAAAGACAAACAAAAAAGAAAAGAAAGAAATATGTAGTATAGAAAATTGTACTCACTTTGAAGGCAGTCAGCATTGAGAAGATCCTTGCACTTTTCGTGACATTTGACACCACATTCCATACATCTCACGCCTTGTCTCGCAATGCCCCAAAGCAATCCTTCACACTCGTAACAATAGGTTGGAGAAGTGGCAGTCCAAGTGACAAAGTTGTGAGGAGTCGTTGACGAAATCGGGTAAATCATTGCTTGAAGTGTTTTCTTGTATACGTGCATCTTCTACAGATGACATAGTTAGAAAAAAAAATATTTGTATATTAATAACAAATCTTATATATATAGTAGAATATAATTATTTATAATTATTATATTATATTGTTAACAATCTAATAATTCTTCAGGGAGCATATCATTTTTCTGTTATTAACCCATTTCTGTCATGCAATTTCAACCCCTAATTTATCATCTTATACCTCTTGACATTCCACTTACTAAAGATAAACACACATCATTCATTTAAAAGAGAAAAAAATTAACTGACAGTTCTTTTTTTAATATTTTTAATATTAATTAATGATTTAAAATTTCTAAGAATTTTTATATAAATTATATATTGAAGAAAAATTTTCTCAAATTAAGAATAAATCTTTGGCTATTATTTTTTTTTATGTAATTTTGTTTTAAAATTCAATATATTTAATACTTTAAAAATAAGAATGTATATATATATATATATATTCTAATTTGTATGTTAAAATATTTATTAATATATGAAATTAATATACACGGAAAAAAATATTTACCTAGAACAGTGAAACGTTTCACTATAGTAACAAAAGTTTTACTTGTATCAGTAAAATCTTTCGCTATTCTAGTGAAATCTTTCGCTGTTTCAGATAAATATTTTTTTCCAAGGTATATTTTTAATGTATCAAATATATAATTTTAAGTTGAGAATATAATCTTATTTGAAGAAGACAGAAAATATACTACATTTAATTAGATAAATTACATTGAAATAAATTAAAAGTAAAAGGAAACGAAAATATATTCTCAATTTTAGAGTAAATTTTACTTCGTCATTATTATAAATCTTTAAATAAGAAATTATTTTCACTTTAGAAATTAAATGAATTTTATTTTTATTTTATATTTATTATTATTAACAAAACAAAAAAAATTTTTTTTTGAAAAATGTATATTTTGAAATTAAAATATTTATCTATAAATTAAATAATAAAATTAAGTAACAAATGTTTAAAATTTTTTTTACGAAAATATTTAAAGTTTATGTATAAAATGAAATAAATTTAAAATTCTACATTCCATATAAATGTATACCTACTATATTATTTTATTTTAATATTTAATTTATTCAATTCTTTTATAATAAATAAATAAATAAATATATATATATATATATATATATATTAAATACATTCATAACTCGCACGCATCATTTCACTTTCAGTCATATTATAATATCGCATCACGTAAAAACGATATTAGAAATTTATAAATAAAAAAAAATTAATTTCACTTTTCAATTTAAAAATGAAAAAATTTATTTTTTTTATGAATAATGAGAATGCAAAAAAAATGAGAAAAATAATTATTTATTTTAAATATTAAAATAATAATGAGGATAAAAATAATTTTAATAAAATAATAATAATAATTATTATTATTATTTTGATAGCAATAAGATAATTTAAAAATATATTCTTAATTTAAGAATATCGTTTTTATCGTGATGATTTGCGACAGCAAATGCATTTTACATAATTAAGTTCACAGGAAAGTGTAATTTTTATAAAAATGTACTAGAAAACCTGCTAGAAAATTATAATTGAGCGGTTGGCAAAATAATGAAATTGATGAAAGCATGAATTTAATATCATATACATTTTTATCACAAAATGAAATTGCACACTTTTTGTTTTATGTACTATATAAACATACATATTATGCGTTTCTTTAATAATTTTTTTTCAATTTTGTGAGAGTACCTAGATTTTTTTTTATGTGAAAAATATATTTTCCTGTGTACTTTTTTCGTAAACTATTTTCTATAAAAAAAAACAGATTTTTTATTGTATTATCGTGCCGGGTATGTGCTTTTCAATTTCCATTCATGTGTGTCTTTTAACGATTATAATATATTTTCTGTTTATCAACTTCAACTCACAGCAAATAAATGTAATAATAATAGTAATAATAATAATAATAAAATAATAATAACCATAATAATAATCATAATAATAAATAATAATAAAAATAATATAAAAATTAAATATTGCTATAATTTCTAGTAAAATGTCAATTTTTTTTTCTTCTACTATTAAAAATGCATTTTTTTTTTGAAATTCATTAATAAACTATTTTATTTTAATAAAAATTGGTATAACAACATTTTTTTATTAAATTTTTTTAAGCATTTTTAGTATATAGAAAGTAGAAAAGGCAAAAAATAAGATACTTGCATTTTTTTTATACTAAAATAATTATTTTTTAAAAATATTTTAATAGATGCCTCTGATTTTTTATTTACTAAAAAAAATTTTAAAGGAAAGGTTTGTTTGTGAATATAAAAACTAAAAATAAAAGCAATAATGTGATTTTTTTCATTTCTGTGAGATTTCCCCTCCCCCCCAAAAAAAACCTGAGATTTTCCATTCTCTTGGTGCATTTTTATATATAAAAAAACCAATCCATTCAGGAAAAAGAAAATAAATAAATATCTGTAAATATCCGTATAATAAAAAGCAAACTAAAAATTAATGATTTATATATATTTTTCATCCAGAGAAATATTTGCGTTTATTTGAGACAAATAAAATTTATTTGAACCAAATTTATATTTACTTGAACTAAGGAAATTTTTATTTGTATAAATATTCAAAAAGATTAGTAACTATAATAATAATATTAATAATAATATAATACTAATAACAATAATAATAATTAATTACAATAATTAAATTATTATTTATATAAATAGTCAAGTAACTGATTATTTGAATTAATTAAACGTTTCTTTCTTTTCATATTCAGAAAAATAAAAGTAAAGAAAATAATGAATATATTTTTGAAAAATATAAAATTTTTCTTATTATGTGAAATGATTGATTTATTAATGAAACTATTTTCTCGTGTAGCATTTAAGCAAATAATAATCGTCGAGTTTTTAAAGAACCACTTGAAAATTCGTATACAACATTTTTATGGAAATTTGTGAGTTCTTAATAATAAATCATGCTTAAGTTTCGTGGTAGTATACATATTTATACATATATCATAACGACCTCGAGAGTGCATATTTTTTCTAATGCTTTTAGATTGGTAAAAGACATGTAAAGTGAAGTGAAGGGCAGTTTTAAAAGCACTGATCCGCTAAAAGCACTATATAAATATAGAGGATATATCATAGCCAGTTAGAATGTTCGTCTGCGTATCGTTCTCATATTTTTGTTTTAACACTTTTCTTTCGTTTTTTTTTCTTTTTTCTTTTGCTATTTGTAATTTTTTTAGGTCTTCTTTTCCAGTGGGAAATTACCAAAATTGGATAAATTTTAAAGCAAATTATATAAATAAATTATAATACAGTTAAACAAACATTTTTTTTTTCTAATCTGAGGGTCAGAACATGAATGTATTTTTAGAGTTGCTGAAACCGAATCTAAAGTCTATCTTATCCTATCAGATCAAATTTTTGACATAACCTCAAAAAGTCTTTACAGTAACATAAAAAAAAGAAATTCTGCCCTAGTAGTTAAGGCAAAGCATTTTTATTTTTTTTTAAGGTTTAACCTTTAAATACAGAAAAAACTTGGACTCATTTTTGTGGCAACTCATTTTCAGTTGGGTATCAAAATGAGTATGAGACAAACTTCATGTTACTCAAAATGACACTGGTTGATGGAAATTTAGATTTGTAGGTTGAAATCATTTGCAGAGTAATTTTGTTTTAAAATTGTTTTTCTTTTATTTCAACAATACCAGAAAGATTATTTTGTGACGAAAGTTTGAAAAATATATATTTAATTTGTAAATTTATCGGAGGTCGATAATTACGTTACCGACGAAGCAATAAAACGTATTTAGTATCCATTCACAATACGCGCGCTGCAGTAGCGGTCCCCACCGAAATCCCGCGCATGCGTTCCATCAAACTGATCGTGTTTAAAAGTCGCGCAAGCAGCAGTAATCGTTATTCCTCGAAGAGGTCTTATTGTAGTAGGACACGCCTTCCGAAGTGGTCTTACCACGGGCAAGAGGTCTTACCTCAAAGTAGTTTTTCTTCAAGCCCAAATGGATGCAATAAGTGGTTTTACCACAGACGAAGAGGTTTTACCTCATGAGCAGTTTTACTGCATGAAATGGTTTCATCATGCGTAAAACGTCAGCGTCGCTACCAAACTTTTAGCGTAAAAAACAATGTGTAACGTTTTCTCTATTTTGATCATTTTAGCTTCTTTTCCGTAACTTTTTATCGATCGTTTACGTTAAATTTCGTTGCATTTCTTTCGTTAATGTAAATATGTAATATATGTTATGTTTTCCGTTTTTTTTTTTGTAAATATACGTTTTTCGAGTTTATCTGTAATTTCAATTCTAATTATTTGTCATTTTTCCAATCCAGGTCCGAATTATTATTTATTTATTATTATTTATTTATTATTATTTCTTATTCTCAAAATGAATTTTACCTGTTTCATTTTGATACTTTTATCTTAGAATTTGAAATGAGGCAACCAGTTTCATTTCAGATGAGTATCAATTTGAGTATGCTTTCCATACTCACTTTGAGTTCAGGTTTTTTTCTGTAAACTATTTTAGCGGTCTGTGCAGCTCAAAAGTAAAAAAATAACGGGGTAAAATGGACTTCAGATTCGGTTTTAATGACCCCAAAAACATACATAGCTACTCGAATTTTCCGCCAATAGTTTTTTTTTTTGTCCCCACTGGTATAAAATGATGTTTGCCAACTTTTAATAAAAATTCAAGAGATGTGTTAAGGAAAAATGATCCATATTTATATATATATATATATATGAGTAGTGTACGCTTTGGGATATCTATTGAATCTGAGGAACATCCGTTACAAAAATTATTGGGAAATTCCTATAATAAACGTTTAGACTAAAATTTATGCCTCAATCCGGAAAGGGATCCACGCCATTTCAATTTCCTCTCCTAAATTATTATTCCTAGTCGTATGCGTGTAACGTACCTAAGATACTACATTTTCACTCGCTTAGATATAAATACTATTTTATATATATGTCATATTTGGTTCAAGGTAAAAAAAAAGGAAAAACCAAAAGAAGGTATTTATATTTTCTTCCATTATTATAAAAAATAAGAAAAATTAATGATAAAATAAACAAAAATAGGACATTATCTAAAAGAAATCAGTAATTCTGATTTATTTATTTTTTACATGATAATTATAGAGGTGCATGAATTTTCTATTAAAATCATAAATTAGAATTTTTATTTTAAATGAATTGATTAGATATAAATTATTTTTTCAAAGAATTTTACATTTTCGATTTCAAATTTTACAAGATTTTCTTTTTATACGAATTTTTACAAAACAAAATTTTTAGCTATCGAATTTTTGTTTGTCAGAATTTTTATTTTACAGTCATTTTCTTTATATAACTTTTTATTTAAAAGAATTTTAATTTTGGGGAATTTTAATTTAACAGAATTCTCATTCAATCAAATTTTATGAGATTCGAATTTTTAAATGACAGAAATTCCAATTCACCAAGTTTTAATTTGTCCGAATTTTTATTTCTATGAATTTTTAATTGATAGAATTTTTAAGATGCCGAATTTTTATTTGTTCGCAATTACAAATGTCCGAACAAACAATCGACAGACAGATTTTGAAACAATTTACAAAATTGACACATCACGATTTTCTTGATAATTTCTAATTTGGCAATTTTTGGAAAATTGCGCCGCAATATTTTTGTCGATTGTTTGTTCGGCCATTTGTAATTTCAGACTAAATAAAAATTCGGCATCTTAAAAATTCTATCAATTAAAAATTCGTAGAAATAAAAATTCGGACAAATTAAAACTTGGTGAATTGGAATTTCTGTCATTTAAAAATTCGAATCACATAAAATTCGATTTAATAAGAATTTTGTTAAATTAAAATTCGATTAAATTAAAATTCTCCTAAATTAAAATTTATGTAAAGAAAATGACTGTAAAATAAAAATTCTGCCAAATAAAAATTCGGTAGCTAAAAATTTTGTTATTTATAAAATTGTTATCGTATAAAAAGAAATTCTGTTAAATGCTAAATTGAAAAATTTAAATTCGTCTAAAAAATAATTATTTCTGTCAAAAAATACTTTAAAATAAAAATTTAAATTAATTATTTCTATAAGAAATAGAAAAACAAATTTTATTCTACACAATAAATTTTTTCTAAAGCAAATTTTTTTTTTATTTAAAACTGATTTACATTTTTTTTTTTAATAATTAAAAATTAAAATTTGGCTTCCTTTAATGAAAATTCTAGTTTAGGAATGATGAGAAATTGGAAAGAGGTGTAAAAAAAATCATACATATTTCATGAAAAAAGGAGAAAAAAACAAGTGGTAAAATGTGTGTTTGAAAAAACAAGATCATGTGAATAACTAAAAAGGGTATATATAAGGAACATGAAAAAAAGAAGGAGAGAAGATATAAAAACGTCAGTCGCTGAGTCACACTTACGTGAAAGAAAATAGCGTGGAAATGAGGATAAAATGCAGCACGGTTCATATGGAAAAAAAAGAGAGTTCTGCGGTTAAATTTAATTTATTCTGCTTTTACGAATTCGCCGGTGTATATGTAGTTTAATATATATTTGCTAGATTATTTTTCTATATTGTGGGCGATTCCATGTGAAATTTACCTATATTTTAAATTCGGATAAATATAAATTTTTTTTTCGTTTTTTGCCAAAAAAAAAGTAAAAATTTTTTTAAGTGCTTAAATTTTCGAGTTATTGTTAAAGAATAGAAAAATTTGTTTTTTCAAAAATCGATATCTTCTTATAATAATTTTAATATTAGTAGTACAAGTCAGTTTTAGTCGGTCAATTTTTTTTTATTTTATATTTATAAAATTCAGTTTAAATAAATTTGAATTGTTCAACTTCGATGTAAGTAGTAACAGTCGGTTAGTGTCAGACAATATATTTTTAGTTTTTGTTATTAGTAGTGAAGGTCAATTTCAGACGTGGAGTTTTGAAATTTCGTAAAATTTAGTCTAGTAGTAAAAGTAAGTTTTAGTCAGACAATTAGTTTTAATTTTCTAATAATTTTTCGCGTCAGTTTCAGTCAGACTAATCATTACAGTATTTAAAAGTAGTAAAAGTAAACTTTAGTCAGTCAGTCAGTAGTAAAATTTACTATTAGTCAGCCGCATGTTACGTTAATGTTTCTCAGTAGTAAAGGTATATTTAAGTTAGACTTAACATAAATTTTTAAAATAGAAGAAAATTTATTTTATTTTTTGTTTAAAATAATTTTAAAAATAAATTTGTTAACAAATAACTAAACTTACTTTGTTCCAAGAAATATTAACTTTTATAAAGAATTCTTAAAATTTCGAAATAAAAAATTAAAGGTTTATTTTTTTTATATAAAAACAATTCATGACATTTCTATTATCTATAAAAAAATCCATATTTGAAGCAGAATTTTAAATTTAATTAAAAAACTCATTTACCAGGAGAATTTTTCATTTTCATTTTATCTCTTTTGTTTTAATAAGACCATGATTTATAATCCCTTCCTGGAATTTGAAGATGGATTATACAATTTCCATTTCTCTACTGATTTCAACGTAAACTTTTTTGTTTGTATGTATGTGGACAAGGGACACACTCGAGTGTCAACTTTTTTGCATTAACAATAAGTAAACAAAAACAAAAAAAAAACTGGAAAAAAACCAATGGAATTAGAAATAGTAATTTTAACATAACCTAAAAATGAATTCAATTTGTTATTTTTAACTAATTCAAGATTTTAGAAGGAGTTTTCACTTTTGTTAAATGTTAACCGCAATCTTATATATATATATATATATATATATATATATATATATATATATATATATATATATATATTATTGGAAATAATGGAAACTTTTTCCATGAACTCACGAATTTCAAATTTACGTGACAATAAAGATTTTTATGTTTCAGCAAATGCGGGCTTTCTCTCTCTTTTCTTGCGAGTAAAATAAAAAAAAAAAAAGTTGTAAAAAATTTTATCATTCTCTTTTCAACTGGCTGTTGAGAGGGAACCTCCTTTTTCTATAAATTTTGCATCGATCAGCTAGTACGAAAAACAATTGATGAAATTTAAGTGTTGTTCGAATTTTATTGCGCTGATTTTAAGTAAAAGATTTTTGTGCACTATATACGGTACATAACGTTAGAAAAACAATTCTTTATTTCATTGTTCACCGGGGAAAAAATGATCTTTTTTTATACTTAAATTTTACTCTTCAAATTAAATTACACGCATAGAAAAAATTTGCTGTGGCAGCGAACTATTTGCTGTCACATCAAATTACGTTAGCTAATATAGAGACAGCGAACAAATTTCCTGTGGGGTCAAAAAAGTTTGCTGCGACAGTGTAATTTTTTAAAAATTAATACTGATATTGTTTATCACAGCAAACTTTTTCGTTGTCATAGCAAAATATTAAAAACAAATTTAATTACAATCTCATTTAAAAAAAGGAAAAAATTATAATTCATTTCTTAAAAATATTATCTCTAAACAAAATGAAATTGTAATTTTGAAAATTTGTCTTTAAAAATTGAAAAATAATTTAATATATTATTTGTTTCTATATGAAAAGTAAAAATATTTTGTTTTTTGTTTGAAATTGAAATGAAATAGAAAAATTTTTCAAAGACCAATTTCTTACCAATTCTTCGTCGTTTAAAGTTGCTCGAGGTACAGCGGAAGTTAGACCGGCAGCATGACTTCGCTTGGTTGCAGCCATTGTCTGAGAAAAGATAATATTTGATTATTTTTCAATGTAGTGGAATCTCTTCAGTGAATGTGAAAAAGACAATAGATGAGGATTAGAAAAAGGATGGAAAAATATTTTTTAAGAAAGATAGGTGTAAAAAATTAAAAACAAAAAAAGTGAATCTGTGAATATAAAAGGTGTCATATATATAAAATATAAAAAAGTGAAAAATTATAATTCACTCTACTTTGATTTTTATCATTAACAAAAATTTCATAAAAAAATTTTGGTAAAAAAAATTATGTTAACTATATAAATTATTTTAAAAAATTAATTATTTATTAAATTTTTAAAAACTTTTAAATCATAGAGAAGAAAAAATTATATAAAATCACGTCACAAGATAAGTATAATTGTAAGTAAAATTTATAAATAGGAAAATATTTTTAAATATTAATTAACACTAAAATAAATATATCTAAATAAAATATTCTTAAATTGAGAATAAAAATTTTGTATAGAGAAATAAATAAATTTAAAATTAAAAAATAAATATTTGTTTAGAAACAACTATATTGTTTATATATACAAGTGTAAAAGCATCAAAATTGTATACAGAATATAGAAATTTTTAAAGAGATGTTTTACTAAAAAAAAAAATCAGTATTTTCTATTTTCATTCAGTGAGATTGCAAAAATAAAAAACGGTGAATTTTGTGCCGATAGCGTACTCAAGAAAAGAAAAGAAAAAAAAATATCACAATGTAAAAAAGAAAAATAAGAAACAAGTTTCATGACGTGCTTTAGCTTCTTTTTTTTAAATATTACAATTCAATTTCATTATGCAATTTAAGAAAATACTGCTACCGCACTCTATTTAATATTTTCTTTTATTTCATTAAAAAAAACATGCGAACTCTTTGCTTAAAAAAAAAATAAGAAAAATAAAAAATAGACCACGGAAAATAAAATAAAATTTTTTTTCACAATATGAACAGAAAAATTAATATTGACTATTAATTCCAATTATTGTTAAAAAGGAATTATTAAATGAGAATTATTTTTTTACCTAAATAAATATAAATAAATCAAACTTTGTGGAATTTTTTAATTAGGTATTATTTACAAAAATATAGATAAATTGAAATTACAATTTTAGACACCAATTACAAAAAAAAAAAAAAAAAAAAAAATTAGAAGAATAATAGAGTTACTTAATAAAATGTTAATAATCTTATTATTAATTTTTTTTTGCCTTTGTTATTTTTTCATTTTATAATTATTATTAAATTAAATTATAATTATAGAAAAAAAAAGATTAAATAACAGAATTGCAAAAATTTGAAAATTATTATATTGAAAGAGATTAAAGGAAAAAAAAGAAGAAAGAGAATTAAACATGACAGGATAAAAAAAGGAAAACAATAGAAAATAAAAAAAAAAAAAAAGAATCGAGGGAAAGAAAAAGGGGAAATGAAGAAAGTGAAAAAATAGTAAGAAGATTATGCATAAAGTTTAATCCAATTAATCTTTGGTGTCTGGTGGATATGGCTTATTAGGATTAGTGAGGCAATAATTTAAATTGAAATTCTGCAAAAAGATGTCATGCCTCGTAAATCCACTTTTCCCACCTCTAGACACACACAAAATTTTTATACCTATATTGCATTATTTTGCAAACAAGTTCAAATAGACTTGTATTTTCACTTATTTTCTCTTTTCTAATCAATTTTTTTTTCTTCATTTTATTTTTATTTTCAGTGGAAAATTTTTAATTAATTTTTTTTTAGCTATACATTATAAATTATTAATTATGTAGGTATTATAATAAATTATTATTAATAATTATAATAATAACAATAGTAATAATAATAATAATTAATTTTAATTTTATCTAAACATTTTTTTACTGTCACCAAAAAGATGAAATATGTTCAAATATAAAATGTCAATTGTTTAGAAAAAGAAAAAATAAAGTGACGTTTTAATTATGTGCGAAGCGATAATTTTTTGCCGATATTTTTTTTTTGGAAAAAAAAAATTGTTAAATATTTGTTTAGAAATCAATAAATTCTACGTGTTAAGTAAACTATTTTTTTTTAATTATTTAACTACTTTTTTCTAACTATTTTCAAATTATTTCTATTTTATATATAAAATAAAAACTACAATATATATATGTATATATATATAGATATATACGTAAAATCACATGCACACTATTTAAACTAACACAACAAAATGTAATTTTCATGCACAATATAATATTATTTTTTTTGTGCTGAAGTACGGGAAAATGCAAATCTATTCTAAACAAATTTAACATTGCTCGACCAGATTTTAATTTGTTAAAAAAATACCTAAGAGACTCTGCCCTCTTATGAAAGCAATTAACAAAATTACCTATGTCTCGTTTGAAATTCTACACTCTATATAAATAAATGTACTAAAAAATGTAATTAAAAAATAAGTCATTATTTTAAATCAAGTGATTTTTGACTAAAACAATTTTTATTACCATAATTTAATTATTTTTATTATTTTTATATTTTATTTTTATTTAAGTATGCTATTAAAAATTATATTATATTATATAAATATTATATTAAATTCAAGAAAAAAATTTATTTTATATTAATTATTATTTCAAAATGAATTTTCTCGTAAAATAAAAATTAAAAAATAAAAGAGAAAATGTATTTTATTTAATTTTCAAAAATTAGTTGTTTTTTGTTAATTTTCAAAAATTTTTAAGTTAGGTATTATTTACAAAAATATTTTTTTATATCTTTAGTTCATTAAATTATATATTTTTTAAAAATAATTTTATTACATTTTATTTATTTTATTTTATTAAAAAAAATTTTATTCAAATTTTGAATCTACAATTGATTTAAAATCAATTCAGTTAAGTAAATTTTATTTTCATATTTTTTATTTCAAATACAATATAACAATATTATCTACTCTCTAAATTTGAATTAGTGAGAATTTATTCACTTATTTAAATTATTGAACATTTCGAGAAAATTTCTACTAATTTTTAGTTATTTTTCACTAAAACTTTAGTAAAAAAAAAATACTAAATCTATTACTATTACTATAAATTAATATTTTACTAAAAATTAAAATTAAGCTAATTTTAGCTAATTTTATTTTTAGTAAACATTTCTACTAATTTGAATTAGTAAACAAATTCTCGCTAATTTAAATTTAGTGAGTACTCCGATAGCACGCAAGCTTGCAGCAATCTTGCGGTAAGCTTACCGCGCAATATTGCCAACCTTTCACAGCAAACCTGCCGCAAGCTTACTGCAAGCTTCAAATGTACCACATGTCCAAGCTTGCGTGGTAAACTTACCGAAAGATTATCGCAAGATTGTTCAGTAAGCTTGCACGGTAAGCTTGTAGCAAGGTTGGTGCAAGGTTGCCAAATAACCTTGATTTGAAACAAAAACTTTTTTTTATGTTTCGTCTAATTTATATATTTTTTTATATAAATTTTATTATATAAAAAATTATATAAATTAGACGAAACATTAAAAAAAATATTTTAGGTTCAAAGCAAGGTTATTTGGCAACCTTGCACCAACCTTGCTACAAGCTTACCGTGCAAGCTTAATGAGCAATCTTGCAGTAATCTTACACTGCAATCTTTCGATAAGCTTACCTTGCAAGCTTGGGTCAGGTTGACATTTGAAGCTTGCGTCAAGTTTGCCGTGCAAAGTTGGCAATATTGCGCGGCAAACTTACCGCAAGGTTGCTGTAAGCTTACGTGCTATCTGAGTACACTTATTCGAAAAAAAACAAATTATATAATTCTATTTCTCAGCCTGTGAAAAATGTAAAAAAGGACAATAAAATCAAAATTATATATTCTTTCCCAGTATGTCAAAGAATATTTTTGTTAATGAGATTCAAAAAAAAAATAATAATAATAATACCGTTCGCCGTTGATAGAAAATATAATATATTAATATGTGCTTGCACAATGTGTGCGCAAGAAAATAAAAAAAAGAGAGTAGAAAAAAGTGGAATTAAAGTGTTGAAAAAACCCATAGTTATACCATAAAAAAAATATGCTTGGTGAGCAAAAAATAAAAATTACACACACACATATGACAAAAATATTAATTTCGGAACATGTATGCAATATCGCATGCAACGTGCGACGTGTGAACAAGCTGCTAATTAATTTCGCTAAGAAGGCGTTTAATTAGTACCTTCAAGACCTGGAGGTAGAGTTTTGAGATTTTTGAGAGGTTCAGTGAGTGGTTTTGTTATTCAGGTGATTTTCAGGTGTTCAGGTAGATACAACAACGGGCGCCACAGAGAACAAACAAAGAATATTGAGCATTATATGCTGGTTAGTTCATTTCTTTTTTTCTTATTTTTTTATTTTTTATTTTTTATTTTTTTTTGCCAATCATTTCACATTACGATTATTTAAACGATAAACAGGAGGAGTTAAATTTTGACATTAAAAAAAAAATATATATATATTTTATTAAAAAGTGTATCAATTAAAAATGGTTTTTCATTATTTTTTTCCTATAACAAAAATAGAAAAAATATATCCCACAAGAATGAGTATTTTTTACAAATAAATTGTTAAAAAACTTTTTTTTTATTCGATTTTAAAACTTTTTTTAATTTTAATAGAAAATTGCAAACAAAATATTTTTCAAATATTCATTAAAAAAATATTGATTATTCATATTTTTAAATTTAGATTTTAAGATTGTTTCCATTTATCATTTTACAATATTAAAAAATTTTTTAATTGTTTAACAATTTTTTTTTTTAATATATTTTTGTGCAATTTTTTACACTTTCTTTTTAAAGGAACAAGATACGATACACAACAATAATAATGTGAATTTTTTACACATAACATTCAGGGAAATATATGTATATTTAGATAAATAAACATATATAAATATACTGGGTTATCATTATCTTCCGGATCAGGGAAAAAATTTTTTTAATTCAATTTTTTTGAATATAAAAAATAGTAATTAAAAAAAAAATTTTTCTCTTAAGAATCCGGAAGCTTTATATAACTCTTGTAGAGAATTTAGAATTTTAATAATAATTTCCTTTTTTTTTGTGAAATAAAATAATAAAAACTCATCATGTTTTCAATTTACTGATTTTAATGCACACAAATTAAAATTCTTTTCAAAATTCTCTCTTTGAGTTTTAAAAATATATAAATACTTATATATGGTTTACAAAAAACATTTAAATTTATATAGGACGTCAATGAAATTCGTTTCATTTTTCAACAACTATCAAAGGGGGTGCATAAATTTTTAACTACTCAAGGAGGGAGGATAATTGCATTTGATAAAAAAAAAATTTCAAAATTTTATTTTATTCGATTTTTAGTAATCTATGAATATATTTTATAATATATATAGAGAAAATTACCTGAAAAAATATGTTATTTGTAGTTAGGTACAATTTGAACATTGTAAAAAATTATTATGCACCCTATGGAATTTTTCATTATTTTTTTATTTATAATTTTCAATAAATAGATATTAATATATTATAGAGAAAATTAATTATAATCCAATTTGAATATTTAAATATTATATCAAAAACTTCAAAATGCGAACCAAGTGACACGATCGATGTTTCAAGAATATTATTTCTCTTAAAAATATTTTAATAATAAATCTTTTTATACTAAGTAATTTTAAAATTTTTCTCTTGTAGATAATTAAAAAAAATGCTACTATTTTTTTAAAATATTATTTTTCAATTTAATTTTTATAAATTGCAATGTTTTTATTATTAATTTTTTTTTCATTATAAAATGTTTTAAATATTATTAAATATAAAATTTTCCCGTTATTTAAATTGAAAAATTTAATTTTCTTTTCTTATAAAAATAAGAAAAGGAGTGTAAAAAATATAGAAAAAAAAATTTATGGAGATTTTTTTTTAATTCGAATCTTATATGAAAAAAATACAGGCAAACGCGTATTGAGAGTAAAATTGCCGCGAACAGTTAAATTGACTTTCGCACATTTGCGTGAAATATGTGTTACAAATAAACGGTCAATTTCAACAATCAGAAGTTAATTCGAATTTCAAATTTGTTTGGATTCGAACTGTACTATTTTTCGATCGAGTCACCTGATCCGGAAGTATTGTCCAGAGCTCATCAATTTCCGGTTACGCTGGAATGCAATTTTATTTTTCAACACTATTGCTTTACTCTCGCATTTCATGAATATATATCATTTCTGTTTTGTTTAATTTCATATGTATATATATGTCATTAATGAGAAAAATGAAAAAAATTCTTATGTAGTTCATATCATTATCACTGGTTTTTTTTATACGCGTGGCGGCAAATAACGGCGATAAAATTCTCAATTTACATTCATTTAATTTCAAAATTTTGTTATATAATTTATTCAAATTTATGTATAAAATAAATAAATATAAAAAATATAATAATAATGATTTTATTACTCGGTAGTTTTTAAGAATGAAAAATAGATAAGGAGAATTGTAAACGTAACATAACCTCAAACTAAAAAAATGGTTTTTGTAAATAAAATTATTAGAAAAACTAAAAAATCGCAATTTTTTTCTGATAAATGTATAAGTTGATATTAATTTTTATTATATTTTAGTTTGCGTTACAAAAAATAGTTAAAAATCATTTTTTAATTTGAGGTTATGTTACTGTCATCATCCTCCTTAAAAAATTTTATATTTATAAGCGCTAGTAAATTTTTTTATGTGAATGTAAGCAGATTCCATTATTAGAAAAGCGGTTTTTTCTTTTTAAATATTTTTTTATTATTATTATTTTTTTTATATTTTTGTTTTTCGCTCGTTATTTTACCGCATTTTTGCGCCATGTCGTAGGCGTTAAAACACTGAAACGTAAAACACGCATTAAATTACGAGAAAGCACAAGTTGATTACCACTCTCGAGTGCGTATCTCAAATTTTGGTTTCATTTTTTTCTTCTTTTTTGTTACAACTATCGTTTACATTTTGAATATATCCTTGATAAAAATTGCACTCGAGCGTGGTTAAGCTGTTTTTTTTTGTCAATGGAAACACAGAACTAGAGAAATTCGCGAAACATATTTGCGTCGTAGTCGCTCGTTTATTCTCCTAATAAAAAAAAATCAATATTTAATAATTTTAAATATTTATAATAATTATTTATATTAATTTAAATTCAATTGAATAATTAATAATGATAAATAATAATTATAAATATTATTTATTTTATTAAATAATATGCAAAATAAATAATTACTTATTGAATCTGATTTAGGGAAGAGAGGAAAAAAAGAATAGTTTTGATAGAACTGAATTTTTTAGTGTAAAATATATTTTTATTATAAAAGTATGTGTATGATAGTCAATAAGACTTAAGAACCAATTTAAATTTTACCACCTGTGTGTCACGTGTTCTCTGTTAACCAATCATTTATAGTCTAAACCTATTCTGAATTTCTATTTGGAATTTGTAGTTCGACCTCTGCGCAGTTTACGAAATTTAACTATCTGCGCATACAATGTATGTTAATTGTGGAACAGTTTCTTGGTTAGGTTTCTGTATGTCAATGTGTTTCAGTTTTTTTAAACTTATTTTAAAACACTAAGACTCAAAATTCTCTAAAATGTCCATTATAAACTTTAGGGAAATAAAAAAATTTTTCTTTCGAAACTACTCATTGTAAGAGTAATTTGATTTAATTAAATAGGAGAAATAATTATTTAAAAATATTAGTTCGAAAAAATCAAAATTATGTTAAATGGTATTTCGCAATATAAAAATGATGTGAAATGACATTTCGATAATAAGAATTTCGATGTCTTGAAAATTATGAAATCGAAATTTGGGGAATAATCATGCGCCCCCCATAAATGAACTAATTAAAGTGTTTAATTAAAAAAAATACAATTTATTATAATTCCCATACATTTTTGAAAATTTAGGCCTCATTTATGTATTTTTTGGAGAACAGCGAGATTCCTTGTACCCAAATCTATCATCCCTTAAAATTTTTGATAAAAATCTTTTCCCATTTTAGAGTAAGATGTAAACTACCAAAACACATTTTCCCATACTAGGTCACGTGGGAGGTTCCCTTAAAGGCAATTTAAAACATTTATTTTGTTACGTAAACTAGAGTTACGTAAATTTTAAGATTTTTACCGAGAATTTTAAAACACTGTTTGTATGCCCAGAACAGTCAAATTTATTGCGCAAAGATCCAAACTAAAATTCCACCTTCAATGAAGAAGAATCTAGTCTAATTTTTAATCCAAAATAACTAATTGATAGTAGAAAACTACTAATTAATTTATTAAAGTTTACTAATTAAAATAGTAGCCTTACTAAATGAATTAATAATTTTCTACTAATTAGTCACTCTCACAGCATCGAAACTTTCGATCATTTCAAATAAATCTTTGTGAAAGTTTTGATGCTGTGGGGTCAATTTCGACTAAAAATTAGTCGAAAACAGTTGACAATTCATTTTTAATGATCAAATAGGCGCAATTGAATTATAGTAAAAAGTGACTAATTAAAATTTAAAGAGTACGGAGAATTTGTCTTTCAAATAATTAAAGTAAATCAGTGGATTAATTAAGTGTCGATGTGACATGCACCGTTTTGTGTGGAGCCAAAAGACCATAGAGTTTGTGCAATTCAAGTTTTAGATTCAGTTCTATCGATTTGACGACGCGTACAAGTCAATTTTATATATATATATATATATATATATATATATATGTATTAAGTTTTAGAGCAAATGGTGTGAGTGATGAAGCGCGATTGCGACTACGACAGCGATCGTTGATTCGGTAATTAATTTGGACGTATATAATAGACGGTTCAAGCAATAGAAACAAGAGAGTTTGAGAGGATAACAGGTAATCGGCCACCTACCAGCTCGGAGACCAGTGGTATCGACTTCCGGCGAGGTCGAATGTCCGGCATACTGTCGATATTGCTGTAGAAGGGATTGTCTCCTGGATGCCTGCAAAACGAGAACAGGAGCTAATTAGGTCCACGTTTTTTTTTTTTTATATACAAATTGTTTTTTCTTTCTATCTTTTTTTTCGATACTTAAAATGTTCTACTAAATTGTAATTTTGTATAAATTTAGAGGAAATGTGTATCTAAAATCAGTTTTTAATAAAACAATTGATGATGGAACTCTCTAAATCTGAATCAGTCATATTTTACTGATTAGCAGTAGAAATCTACACAGTAAACTTGGTTGTATCTTTTTCTATTGCAACGTTTTGATGCACATAAGTTATATCAAAAAGAGATCGTTTTGTGTATCATTTTTAGAAATGATACACGAAACGGTCTCATTTTTTTGATGCAAAAAATTTAATCAATTTATATCAATCATGGCCGAATTGAATCGACTCAAAATTAAACGAATTTTTTTTTAGATATTTTGGTAATAGTACAATTGCGGAGACCATTTCACTATTTAATTTGAAAATGAAAATAACAGAAAATCAAAGACAATGTGCAATTCGATAATTAAAAAGTGACAGCTTATAAACATAACCTAAAATGCATGAGAAAAAAAATTGTCGATAAAATCAATATAGCCGAGCTTTTTAGAAGGTAGATGGCAGTTTTGCTTTTTATAAAAACGATTCAGAAAAAATTTAAAGAAAGAAAATAGATGAGTGCTGCCATCTACCTTCTAAAAAGCTCGGCTATATTGATTTTATCGACAAATTTTTTCTCATGCATTTTAGGTTATGTTTATAAGCTGTCAATTTTTAATTATCGAATTGCACATTGTCTTTGATTTTCTGTTATTTTCATTTTCAAATTAAATAGTGAAATGGTCTCCGCAATTGTACTATTACCAAAATATCTGAAAAAAATTCGTTTAATTTTGAGTCGATTCAATTCGGCCATGATTGATATAAATTGACTAAATTTTTTGCATCAAAAAATGAGACCGTTTCGTGTATCATTTCTAAAAATGATAGACAAAACGATCTCTTTTTGATATAACTTATGTGCATCAAAACATTGCAAAGATTTAATGCAATTTTTGGTCTCAATTTGATACTTTTAGGAAAACTGTGTACTAATTGCCATAGCGAGAATTGAGCAACTGACAATTAGTGGAAATTTACTGATTCAATTAGTAAAATATCAATTACTGATTGAATCAGTAATATAAATATATGGCGGCGGTCACAAAATCTACTGATTTAATAGTTAATTTTAAAGGTTATGTTATATACAAATTACTGATTTACATAAGTTATTTTCTATTGCTTGCATATTTCACTAATTATATTAGTAAATTTCAAAAAATAACTGAAACTTCAGTTAAAATGAAAAGTACTGATTGAATTAGTAAAATGTCTATACTGATTCAGATTTAGAGAGAAATTTTTAGCAATTGTTACTTTTATATTTTTTAACCATTTACCATATGCAGTTTATAGTTTAGATTTTTATTAATAAACTTTCAAATTGGTTAAATAGAATGTTTTTGGAGGGCGTTAGTTAAATGGTTCATTACTTGCCAAGCACACAATTTTAACTTGTAATCGTTCACATTATAGAGTTCGGAAGTATGTTCTTAGCGTCAACTGGTAGTGAAAATTTCAAATAAGTAGGTATCTTGTATTAAATATAATTTGTCGTAATCGAAACTGTTATATTTAAATAAAAATAAAGGATTAAAAAGAATGTGTTATGCAGTTTATAAATTAATTTTTGTCACGGCATGTGTATAATTGTCAGATTAAGCTACCCATCATTTTGAAAAACATACGCTAGAGGCGCTTCGAGAAACTTTATATAAATACTTCAGAACTCTATTATTCAATAAGTTAGTGTTAAGCGTTCCTATTATTTTGTTAGTCATTAATTTTTACTATTATTATTTGCATTTAATCTGTAATATAATTTGTCTTACAATTAGTTTGATCCTTGTTTCCACGTTCGATTTGTTATTACTCATGGCAAGAAAAAAGTTACTAATACATTGTAAAAAAAGGAGTTGAATTTTAACTCCCCAGAGGATGCTATAATCACGCATCAAAATTTTTGGAAATATATCGAATCATAATTTAAATAATAATAAAATTGTTTTAATTTTTTTTATAAACTCTACTGAAAAGAATTATTGTTATTGCAAATTACAATGTTTAATTGCAATTTTGAAAGTTGAATCTTATAAAAAGTGATTTTGAATTTTCTCCCTTAAAGTAGAGGAAGTAATCGTTCGTTGACTTGAACGATATATTGAACTCGAAAAGACATAACCTCAATTTTTACTGCTTTTTTGGCGTGCCCTCGGCGTCTTTGTGTCTTTATTATTTGAAAAATATTTGATATATTGTTTATCCTATTGTTGATAATATATTGATATTAATTGTATTAATATTACGATTTTAAAAAACCTTATACAGTTTATTGCCTGTTCATCTGAATCTGTAATTGATATTAAAAATTGTTTCAACTGTCTGAAGTCAAGAAGACTGACACTTTCAGAAGTAAAAATTATTAACATAAGTAAAATTTATTTCAGAAAGGAACGAAAGTAACTAACTACTTTCAGAACGTTATTAAAGTTAAATTTCATTTGAATTTGTTATTAACAATTTACAGACCAATTTTTTTAACCAATTTTTATAGCTAAATTTTAGAAGTACGCCATTCGGACAAAAATCAATGTATCCAAAAAATCCTACACTTTTCTTTAGCTACTGTAATAAGGAATAAGAAACAATTTTGATAATTATGACATTTCAAAATTTACAGGAACGGTTGGTGCGACTCTTCGCGCCAAGAACGAGTTTACGGAAATCGGCTGCAGCGCCGCAAAACACCATGAAATTTAATAATAATTATTTTTTTTACACTTCATTAAATGTACAATAAAGTCCTCAGATCATAATTTTGATTGGCTTCATAGTTTCTTTAAAAAAAATTCAAAAAAAAACACCTATTTTTTCGGCCTCTAGAGTGTGTCATAACCCCTTAAGGTGGCCGTTTTAGATACATTTCCTCTAGGTAACTAATGAGAAATATATTTAAAAAATTATATATTTAATAATAAATAAATAGTAAATAAATAATAATAATAATAGACAGAAAAGAGTGCTAAATCTTATTTTAAGAAGAAAAATCTTTCTTTTCTTGATAGCCTTTGATAATATGTCCTCTTAATATAAGATTAATCGAATTAATCAATATTGATGTAGAAAATGTAATGTAATTTTTAAAAAAATGGAAAAAGAAATTTAGCTTTCTCTTTTATTAAGAGTCTTCGTTTAATATTGAGAGGATTTGAGAGGAACAAATTTAAATTATGTTTAAATATTATATTATTGTAACGTTATATCTATTATTATTGTAAGATTTCATGCATGAAACTCCTTGAATATGACACAATTTTCCTATTGTTGGTTATTTAGGTCACAATGGTAATAGCCAGTTATGGTCAGACGCAAGTTTTCCGAATTGTTGTAATTGCGACAACAGTAGTACAAGCAAGTTTAGCCAGACGGAAGTATTACGAATTAATCAATATAGTTTCAGTCAGTAGTAAAATGTTGTTTCAGTGATGCGAAATTTCAAATTCTAATATTATTACACAGCCATTGAAGTCAATTTGATGCTGATGAAAAATGTAAAAAAAATTTTTTTGCTATTAGTAGTAAAAAAATCATTTTTGTCAGAATGTTAAAAAAAAAATTTTTTAATTAGTAGTAAAAGTAGGTTTCAGTAAGGCAGAACATTAAATTAATCTACTTTTTCAATCAGTAGTAAAAGTCAGTTTTTAGTCAGAAGGGACAAATTAATATTCGTGGATTTTTTTATATTCGTTTACTATTAGTAGTAAAAGCACGTTTTGGTAATTTTTCCTAATGTTCAGTAAAATCCTCTCAAATGAAAAGGATTTATAATCTCCATATAAATAGAAAAATAGCATATTAAATCACTTAAAAAAAATTTTATAACTGAAAATATAAAAAAAATATAATAAGAAAATACAATACAAAAAGAATATAATATTTAAATTAAAAAATATTTAATTAAAAATCTTGTATTTTTTAGAAAATACATAAATATATTTTACTTTAAAAATTTTTTTTAATTATTTAATAGCTGTTGGAAAATGAAAATTTTTTATTACTAAACTGTATGAACGATGATATTTTACGTGATTTAAAATTTTCATCATTCAACGCTTTCCTTCCTTTGCTTTTACTCTTCTCTCAGAGAAAGGAAGAGAGTTTTTAAATATAAAAAAAATTATGAAATAATTACACGCTTTTAATAACATTGAATGTTAACTTAATTTTTTACACTATTTTAATTTATTACGTCTCTAATATTCACTTGATGAAGAAGAAGAATTAAAAAAATGTTAATGTATGAAAAAATACTTGGTTGTTTGTATTATAGAATTTTTTTCTACATTTCCATATAATTGAATGTTTGTTCACTGTTGTATAAAACTTTCAAAAAAAGAAAAAAGCTATTTAGTCTCGAATGCAGTATATAAAGTACATGAATACTATTTTCAGTTTTTATTACTCAGTAACTTGTTCCCCTTCGTGAATTTTCATGTTTTTCAGAATCCCTCTATTGTTCAAAGAACTCTCCAATATTGACCAACAAATTGAGAGAGAAATTGGAGATAAAAACTCGAATTTCATCTATATTGACAATTCAAGAAAGTTATTTCCAAAAAAGAAATTTTTTTTTTGTCAATTTAAGAAATTTATTTCTCTAAATTGAAAAATAAACAGTCTTCTTTATATATTTGAAAGAAAATATATATTTTATGTGAAATAAAATATAAAAAAAAATATTAGAAAATAAAAAAGTAATGATAAAAAAAAAATATATATATATATTTGAAAAGATAAAATAAAATTTTTATCAAATAGAGTAAAAATATTTTTGAATTACTTTATATATACTGAAAATCAATTTCAACAAGATGAAATCTAATCGAACTCTACAATTCAATTT